AAACAGCATTTCCATGTGTTCTAAAAGTTCTTCTGTGGACAGTTTATTTAAAAGGTGTAATGGACACATTAAGTGCTCTATGCCTGCATGTGATAGAATGTTAATGCAATTCTCCCTACCCTTTTCCTTCCTCGACCCTCCCTTTTATCTTTATCTGTTTTGCTTTTCTTTGGTTTGGGAAAAATCATAATTACGAACCCGAACTATTATTAAAGCTTGTTTTAAATCAGTGCCTGGGAAATAAATTAGCCTCTATTCCCACACAGTAATAATGTCAGTAAATGAAGGCTTCCAGTTATGGTGCAGGAAATTAAGCAGTGATGGCCAAAGCTTTAACAAAGTCACAAGGGACCGCACATTATTGATTCTAAGAAAAGATAGATTCCTACTATCCAGAAAATGACATCTATCTCAAAATAAATGACTAAAACACAAAGCAAACAAGTTGAGTCAGTTCCCTAACAGGAAAATTTGAAAATATCCAAAGGAAAAAAAAATCAACATAAACTATAAATAAGAGCAAATCAGTAAGTACAAAAGAACAAAGTTGAATGACTTAAACACAATATTGGAAGTAGTATACGGTGACAAAGAAGTATATCATTAAATTTAATACCTTAGAGAGAAAATATGTTAATTAAAAGGTAAAATTCTATGACCTAAAGGGAGTTTCTGCTAATGGGTTTATTTTAGGGGTGATGAAAATATTCTAAAATTAGGTAGCAATGTTGAATACATAATACAGTGAATGTACTAAAAACAATTGAAGATTGAATTTTATACTATGTAAATTATATCAACAAAGGTGATTAAAAAAAAAAAAACCCCTGTGATCTAAAGTTAAAAAAGAATTGCTGCCCTAGCAGATTTGGCTCAGTGGATAGAGCCTCGGCCTGCAGACCGACGCGTTCTCGGTTTGATTCCAGGTAAGGGCACATGCCCGTGTTGCAGGCTCGATCCCCAGTAGGGGGCCTGCAGGAGGCAGCCAATCGGTGTTTCTCTCCCTTCCTCTCTCTAAATATCAATAAACTGTTCTTTCAAAAAATAATATAAAAAATACAATACAAAAAATAATAAACTTTTGCATACTCACAACTGTAAACCTACTTTGCCCAGCCTATATAATTATAGTTAATCCAGCACCATTTGTTGAACAACTGTT